GAGAAGGGGGGGGGGGAGCTGCAGCGGCAGCGTCATAGTTGGTGGAATGCCAGAGCCGGAGCTGAGCCGGCTAACCTCCCACAGCCGGACGCGATCCATGCCCTCCGCTTGCAACGGCACACGTGGACCCGGGCACTGCGCCGCCGACGACGAAAGTTCTGAGAAAAGCGAGTTTTCTGGTCAGTTTCGCCTGTCGCGGTTTCGTATCTGGTAGTTGCGACGTGGATATTTGCGAAAAAGTATCGAGACTACAGAGTTTAGTTTTTATTTTGGTTTGTGATGTAGATGTGTAGTCGTGTTGCAGGAGAAGGCACAGAGCTTCTTGAGAAATAAGGAGGCTAATTCCAAGAGTAGGATGGTTTGCAGAATTCTGCAGCTGAGTGATTTCAACCAGAAGCAAATAGCGACTCTTCGAGCAATACCTCTGCATTCTACAATGGTGGACTAGACATTTTTAATCTCTAGAACCCAAAATTTCCATAAGGGTGGCAATACACATCACCTTGCCCTCTTGCCCTACAGCTCCTATACTCCCCTCCTGCCCTCCAACCTCTCTCTTGCCCCCTAACCCCTTTCTTACCCTTAACCCCCCCCCCCCTGGCTCTAGGGTATAAGCTCCGGGTGAAGCGGTGCATCTCGCAACTTGAACAAACATCGACTTTTTCGATATTGACAAATTCATCAGGCTCGACCATCATAACACGATTTAGTACCGAGTTCAGTTGATTCAATTTTGACATTAGTGGCTTTTCACTCATCAACTATATAAACTTTTGACATTTTATGGCAGCACCACGTTTTGGAAAGAAAAAACAACTTAATCGGCCCGAAACACTAACAAAGAAACAACTTAAAACGAGACTAAGGCCGCAAATAATAAAAAGAAACACATAAAATAAAATAAGAAACCCGGGACGTTTCGCAGGGATCACACCCGCATTTTCAACCGGCAAAACAGTAGTTTTTGCTTTCAACCAAAAAATTGTTACTTTCAAAGGAAAATAATTGTGTAGATTTTAATACTGTACATACATTAAGTATTTTTAAAAGAAAATAAAAAGTTTCACGATTTTCAAAGCACTGTAATTGCGCTGGTTCCTTTTTTCTAAATGCGATCCAATACTTTTCCACTGGTTTTAAGTTCATCCGTTGCGTTTGGCAAATCGTGGGATGACCAGAAAGTGGCATGACTATAATTATTTGAACATATCATTGCAGCGACGCAGAGAAACTGAAAAGGTGGCCGTACTTAGTTGGTTTCTGTTATCCTAACATTTCAGCTTTAAAACTCTGTTCCTCATGAAAAGCGAAATGTCACTAATGTCTTTCAGCACAAAATATACTGAATAAACTTTCCAGGCTGAAAAACTACATTTGCAAAGACGATGTTCAGATGATGAGAATGTCATATGATACGCATTTTTATTGTATTATCAACCTAAAAATGATTTTTTAAGTACACTTAATTTTTATAAATGAGAGACAGAGAGTTAGGAAAAAAGCAGCAAAAAACGTTATCTCTAGGTACGTGACTTTTTCAAAGCTTATCTAACATGCTGGGATTAAAGTGTTTCCTTTAAAAATATTATAATCTTCGCTTAGAATTTATGTTATGACTAGCAGGCACCGGCTCCCTAAGCGTGTTTATCTCCATCTTGAGTCCAATTTTTAAATGTACCGGTCGGGTGAAATTATTGCACCGATACCGGCAAAGCTAGCTCGAGGAGATCAATTTACCAGTGGAGAGAGAGAGGGAATGCTCCATCCATGTAATATCCAGAGGTAGCAGTCGGATTCACACGAAAAGAAGTATATTCGAAGCGTTTGTGGAAAAAACACGTTGAAAACCAGCACTTATCAAGCATAAACAAACGTGCTACAATTTAAGCCGGCAGGTCAACGCACGCCCATCGTAAGTGAAGCGCTCAAGCGAATCCTCAATTTAGAAAGTTCAAGTCAGATTTCATGACCTAAAATGAACACCAGTTTCGCCGCGCTTTAGCTTCTAATTCCGAGAAGTCAAGAGCTGCTCATTCTGAATGTATCGGCTCAGGTTTTATGACACATTTTCTTTTTCTGCGCGTTTTGTTTCGCTTCATGATAAACCGCGAGGTAGGTCACTCATGAATGGCTGTAATTTTTAAAATCTTCCGAGTGAACTTCTATGTTGCTGCAATTTGAAGTTGTCTCTCTGAGCTATTTAGTACATTTTTTAGTACTTTATTTTTCACATGCGCGAAGATTTTCCATACAATATTCGGAAAACCTGCTGAAAAAATGGCACTTATCGAGGCAAAACTAACGTCGCACAATTTATGCTTACCGGTCGCCGTGCGCTATGTGCTCAGATTGGCTGACAGGGTGATTTTTCTGAATAAATAAAAAATACATTTAAAAAACTCTAAATTGAGAGCATTTAAATCAGTTGTGCCGTAATGAAGGATAGTGCGTAAACATTTACAGGATTCCATCTCACAAATTACCGTTTTAAGGTTTCATAAACAATTTTGGGACAATTTTGCTTCTCTGTGCTTTTTTCAATGCTATATCCTTTCCTTTCCAGCTTTTGTGCTGATTTATTAAGTTTTGCGAATTACATTCAGACATTGTTTGTCATTCTGAGAAGAGAGACATAGATTGCTCTCAAATAGATCCTCAGTTGAACCTATAACTCATAACTTTTTGACGTCCTCAAAGCCAATAATGCCAAACAAACTTATCTACATGTTGCAATTTTTTGTCAAAGGCTCAAATTAAGTTTTGCGAGGTCAATGCTCTCTTTGCCTCCCACGACACACCTGATTGACACTAAAACAAGTTAGATTTGATCACGCTTTCACACCGTTGCTATGCTTCAACCGTGCACGCACACGCTTCATCAAAGAAATTGACTGAACAAATTATATTTCAAAGTAAATTTCTTGCGATCTATGGGTTTTTTTTACACTTCGAATCCTCTGAGTGCAATGTTAAGAATTGCATCATCATAGGGTTGATATACCTATTACGTTAATTTGGACACATGTAAACAACCGAATTTACCTCCACACCTCTCCTCGCGTTTCCGCAGTTCATGACGCCCATTTTCTACCGTTTTTCACCAGTTGACGTACAGTGTCGTTCCGTTTCACCATTAAAAAAGGTGTTGCGTGTGTTGTGTTTTAGCTCGGACGCTTTTGTTCCTACATGACTTGTGTCACACTAGTTGTGTGTCGGCGGCAACACGCTGGCGCGTTTTGTTGGCATGCCGGTATGCTCAGATTCGTTCACCAGCCACTGATTAACGCATTTGATAAACACTATCAAAATGCTGGTGTTAGGCATTAGGTACCTGATAGAATATGATTCCTAGGAATCTGGTGACCAATACTAGATTTCCGCTAGTGTTAATCATGCGTTTGGTTACATTCACCAACTACGTGGTAAACACTATCAGAATGCTGGTGCTGGGTACTAGATTCCTGATTGAACGTGATCCCCAGGAGTCTAGTTACCAGTGCTAGATTTCTGTCAGTGTTAACCATGCGCCTGATTACGCTCACCAGCCACGTGATAAACACTGCCAGAATTCCTTTTTCCTATCGGTGTGGGTATTGCCTACTAAATTTCTATGGGATCACACATAATCAGGACTCTAGTAATCACTGACATTCCTTCCTTCTCGTGTGTATAATAGGAGGGAGATTGTAACTTTGTAACGTCTAAACTTGGGGCTTGAAAAACTTGTTTACATACCATTTACTGGCTTATTGCATGCGGTGAGCATGCATTACTGGAATTCGAACGTTGCGCTCGGAGAGTGCTTACGAACGTGAAAAGTACTCACCGATATTGACGATCTTGATCCCTTCGTCTGCCAAGAACTTGAGGGCGACGGACACGTTCTCCAACTTTTGCGAGCGGAAAGTGGGGCGTTTGTTGTGTTTGGGGAGCCGCTTGCCGGACAAGACCTCGATGAGCGTGATGAGCCTCAGCCCGTCGCTGAGGTCCGTCTCCAGGTTCCCGATGTTCTTCTGGACCGTCTTCAGGTGCTCGTTGGCCCACCGCGTGAACGTGTTCTGTTGGATCCGTTTCCACTGCGCGTCCTCCGCGAGCTCGCGCTCCGCGGCCGCCATATCCTCGTCCAGGTTCGGCACCGCACTGCCCACCTGTGGCATGAGCATCACGCCGGTCTCCGCCATGCCGACGCTGGCGCTATCTCCTGTTGAAACCGGTTCGCCGCACTACCAGCGCGCTCTCACGATCGCTCCCCGAAATACTCCAGGATTTTCACGCGCCAGTGCAGGCGAGTTAACTTACAGGTTATGTCTCAGACGCACGGTCGCACTGCAAGGCTAGGAAAAGGGGGAGGGGTAATTTTTCCGGTTGAGTGAGTTTGACCACACGGGAATAAAACTGATTGGAGATGCGATGTGCAAAGTTATCTCGTAATGTAAGGGTAGAATAAATAACTTAATATCGAGTACCTCGGTAGAACTGCGTCGTGAAAGGAGAATCTGCGCACCACACACACAAAAAAGACACCAATGAAAAACGCAGGCTGGTAAACTTTTCGATTTTTTATAATAAACTCGGGCAAATAAATTAGGGTTAGTTTTAATTGTAGAGTAAGGGTAGGTTACTTGAGAATAAATTAAATAAATAAATAAATAAATTAAGAGTGAGCGAGTGAACGCGTTGACGGTTTGAATGAAACTGTCGGCGGGGCGACGCGCTCAGTATTGCTCGACGAAAATAGCCCGGGCCCCCCTCCTCCCCCGTGCGCGCGGCTGCCCCGGTGGCAGTGGCTGCTCGCGCGGCAAAGGACCTTAAAGATGCCTGATAAGGTATCAAAACAACGCGGCGCCAAGGAGTGGAAAACCTTATTGGCGGACCACTTTCTCCCCGGCCCGACTCGATATGGAAGTGCGCAAGGGTTACGTCAAGGTAGTTCACTGCTGAGAACTCAATGCTGAATCGCAGATGCTCGCTGACTTTGGATCTTCCTTTTGCGCCCCCCTCC